TGTTTAGAAATGTCGATAAATTATTCTCAATATAAATATATTGTACTATTCTTGTTATATTGGATAGGTTGTCTGATTATGATGAGATCATTTCTAGTGATGTTAAGGTAACTAGTTACATTTTGGCTAAAAAATAACTGTAACTAGTTATATTTTTAAAATTGTAACTAGTAACTGTAACTAGTTATAATTTTTGAAATGTAACTGCCAAAAGTAACTAGTTACTTTTAAAGATATATTCAAATAATTAATTTTATTTTTAATATGTTGTGATAAATTAATTTTAAATTAAATTTATTTTTAAAATTAAATTTATTAATTTAAAATTTTGTGAAAATGTCTGATTGTTATAATTTCCCGTTCAAATTGATTTTCTTTTCTTAAATTGTTACATTGCTGCTGGGCTTCATAATTTTGTAAGCAAATTCATTTAATAAATTTTAATATTATATTTATTTCCAAATGTAGCACAAGATATTTTTTCCGTCAAGTAACAAGCATTGGAACTTCATATCATACGTATTAAAAAAAAATTTAAATTTAGTATAAGGAAAAACAAAGACATATTATTTTAGAATTTAATATTAAATTATTAATCATTACTTACAAGAACCAAGTCTAACAAAAGCATAAGCACATTACTCAAATTTTAAAAAATGATTGCTTTCTGAAAATTATTTTTTGGACTAGCCTGAATTTTTATTTATAATCAAATTATATATAAATTAGACACATTTTAGAACTGTATGTTTCACTCATTAATTGATTATTCTATTCCTAATTTAGATAGTGTTATTTATATTTATCTCCTAGATAGAAACAGAATACAATATGAATTCTGAGTCAGATGATGAAGAAATTATACCTTCTCCTTCTACAATAATTGCAAAAAAAAGACCTTCCTTGGCCAAGTTTTGAAAAATATTTTGAATTCCACAAAGAGAAGGCTGGTAGTAATACTAATATTATTGTCAAATGTCTCTTATGCCTACCATATAAAAAGTATATTGCAGCGTCTAAGTCATCCACAGCTAATTTATGGAAACATATCTCTGTAAGTTTACATAAATTGTATAATATTATATAGAATAATTAAATGAATTAACTTTATAAGAATAATTAATATTAATTAAATATTTATATATATAAAACATATATCTATAGAGAAAGCATCCTAACCAATCCGTAAATATAAAACAAACCATAGATAATAAGAAAATTAATTCAGCCACATCAAGTAAGTTAAAACAAACTAAACTTGACTTTGGTGGAAAATCAAATTTTAAAGGTACCAGTATCAGCAAAGATAAATTTGATTCACAAATTATTAAATATATAATAAATGGAAATCACCCATATACAACCTGTGATGATGAAGATTTTATTGAGCTGATAAACACCCTGCAACCTAATATGAAGATTATATGCAGACAAACCTTAACCTTAAGAATATCAAAATATTTTGTTCAAATGAAGGATATTCTAATAGAAAAATTGTTAGAGCCTAATTATGTTTGTACAACAGCTGACTGCTGGACAGCATTTAATCGGTAAATATTATATTTTACTTTACTAAAGTGCACAATACATTTGGTTATCTTTTGTTATATTAATAATAGCTCCTATATTGGTATAACAGTACATTGGATTGATGTGGATAAATTGGAAAGGCGTTCAGCTATTCTAGCCTACCAAAGACTACAAGGTAGGCATACATATGATGTGATCAGCAAAGCCTTAACTGCTGTTTTTAAGGAGTTCCATATCCAAAATAAAAATATCTGCACAATAACGGATAATGCAAGCAACTTTTCAAAGGCGTTTAGGTATGCCTAACTAATTTACTTTATAAATTATTTCTCTTAAAGTATTTAGCTGCCAATTTATTATAATGGAGGAAGATTCTGTTTCTAATATTGAATATATCTCAATAGAAGATATAATGTCTTCTTCTGGGCTCTCCAGTTATGATATTAATGACTTCAACTACCTTCCCAGGCATCGAAGATGTTCTTGCCATACATTAAACTTAGTGGCAACACAAGATGCCAACAAGTTACTTTTAAACAATGAGGGGTATAGGAAAGTTTATAACTTAGCTATATCTAAATGCCAACGTTTGTGGAACCTCCAAAATAAATCTGGGCCATCCGCCGAACTTATTAAAAAAAATTACATTCTCAACTCCCATATCCCCTTATAACATGATGGGGTTCCTTTTATAAATCCCTGGCCAAAATATTATCGTTTTTAAATCAAGTGCCTGTGGAATTTGATTCATTATGTGATGAATTAAAATTGTGTAGATTCACATCAGATGATCGTGATTTTATAAAAGAATATTGTAGTGTAAATTTAAATTAATGTCTTATAAAAATTTACAATTTAAAAATTAGATTATGCAACCAGTGTCCAAAGCTATTGATATTCTTGAAGGGGAAAAATACATTATCTGGGTTATTATACCCCAACAATAACACAAATACTTATATGTATGGCAGATGTGCAGGGATTAAAATATTGTCAACCTCTAAAGGATACTATATTAGCTAGTATTGAAAAAAGGTAACTCAAATCAAATAATTATTTATAAATTAATAATATCATGTTATAGGTTTAATAATCTTTATGATAATGACAACATCATTGCTGCGATTCTTCACCCTTTATTTAAAACTGAATGGCCTTGGATTAGGCAAGAAAGGAATAAAGCAAAAAAGGAGGAAATTTTAAATTTACTAAATACCTTAATACCTCAAAGTGAATCACAGACGAATGAATCATGCTCAAAACCAACATCACTTGATGTAGTTGGATTTTTTGACCTAAAGCGCCAAAATATTCTGGATAATGAACTTATAGAAAACTTTATCAAATCTAATAACAACACTTTTTCTTTATATAACGATTTTCCAAAGTTAAAATTACTCTTTATTAAATATAATGTTGTTCTAACATCAAGTGCTCCCATAGAGCGCTTGTTCAGTCTAGGTAAGCTTATTTTTGGAGATAAACGAGCATGTCTCTTAGATAATAACTTTGAAATTAATTTGTTGTTAAAAGCAAATAAACATTTATTAGATTCTAATTTTTATGAAAAATAAATGTTTTTTTTTCAATGCAAATATATATGAAAAATTTTTTCAATATCCCAAAAATTCTTTACGCGCTCCGCTCTACCCCTATTTTTAAATTTCCCACTTCCTTAGGCATTTATGAAAATGGGATTAAAGTCCTAATTGAAAGTATCCTTAATCTAAAATTCCATGAATTAGCGTGGACACAAGCCACCCTTCCTACCAAGATGGGAGGACTAGGCATCAGATCCCCTTCCGATCTTGCCTTAACTGCCTTTACGAGCTGCCTTTTAACCAAAAATTTAGTCAATCCTAATTCCTTAAATTCTGACCCTTCCTTTGATAGTGCCATCATTGAATGGAAATCTCGATTCATTGCCGACCACTCAATTCCAGAAACGAACATGCAGAAGGACTGGGATAAGCCCATTATTGCAAGCTGCGTCTAATCTCTCCTTTCCAGTATGCAATCATTGGACCGTCCCTTATTCTCCTCTCTGCTTAATGGTTCTGGACATGAGTTTCTCGAAGCCATTCCATCCGCGAACTTACAATTACAATTGACCTAAAATGAGCTAACTCATGCAAAGGCATCCGTTTAAATTGCTTAGTAACCCAACCCCACATCTGTGCCGGCTGCAGTTCTGCTGTTTTGAGTAATGGAAGGCATAGTCTACATTGTCGTTCATGTAAAGGCCGCATCGTTAGACATAACATTTGCAATTCTATAATTCTTAGAGCTCTGAGATCCGCTCAAATTCCTTCTATTCTCGAACCCTCTGGTCTTTTCAGATCTGATGGGAAACGCCCTGACGGGATCTCTCAAATTCCCTGGAAGCGAGGTCAATTCTTGGTCTGGGATTACTCTTGTATTGATCCATTAGCTCCTTCCAATCAATCCCTTAACATTCTGGAGAACAAGGAGCTTCTAAAAATTGCAAAATATTCAGAGATATCCCAAGATCACTTATTCATTCCCATCATTTCCACTACCTTGACTACCTTTGGGAACCGTGCTCTTTCTTTCTTCAAGGAACTTGGATCGCTAATCCGCAAACTAACAGATGAACCTCGTGAAGGCTTTTTCTTAAGACAAAGACTCGCCATAGCAATTCACAGGGCCAATTACATCAGCTTCATTGGCAGCCTCATCTCACATGATGATTAGAATATATTTTATATAATTTTAATCGCGTAATGAATAATTTATTAAATAATTAATGAAATTTTATATATAAATATATGATTCTTAAGATTTAAAAAAAAACAACCATGACCTTTATAAAAAAAAAATTGTCGATAATTATTTTAAAATAAAATGTAAATATTCAATTTTGCGATATTTTTTTTATATAAATAAATTGTATATTATTTTAAATAACTGATTATACTTTGTTTATCCTAATTTTTTTTATATTAAATAAATGCATTTAATAAATAAATAATGCGCATATGAATGATGTATAAAGTAAGTAACTAGTTACTTTTGAAAATAAATGTAACTAATAACTAGTTACTTTTGTAAAAATGTAACTAGTAACTGTAACTAGTTATGTTTTTGCCAATGTAACTAGTTATGTTTCAAAAGTAACTTTTAACATCACTAATCATTTCTTAAATATCCGAAATTGTATGTAAGGTTCCTCAACTTATTTCTTTATCTTTCCATCTAGAAAATATTAACTTAATTTAGTAATTTAAAAAATTCTCAATTAAATTAATTTCAAAATAAAATTTATCCGTAAAATAATATGTAGTTTGTATAAAATATAAATACAATATTTTTGATTTTTTTATTGTAAAATTTGATAAATTTAAATAATATAATTTTCTTATAAATATATACTATTAAAAAATACATATTTTATTAAACTATAACACATTCTTTTGGATTTTAAAATATTTTAATCTATATGAGCGAATTATCAACGTGATAACAAGATAAAGCACAAGTGCTAAATATTATTGATTGAAGAAATATAATATGATTGTATAATTTATTATTAGTTAGATATATATTATTTTATTTTTAGGATTTAAATGCATGCCACGGAGGTCTATAATATTTGAGATTCTTATGTTTTTAATACATTTTTTTTGTTGTAATCATTTAATTTGGTTTTAATAATACAATTCGGAAATTTGTTACGCACGGGGCCAAATGGTATGTAAAATTTATCATCGAATACTCAAAGGTATGGAGGAGTTTTGTACATGCGCCACAAAGCGCAAACCATCAACAAAGTGTTAGGTACAATTTAATCTATTTCAAAAATCAGTGATGGTGGGCAGTGTTTAAAAAAGTTAAAAATAAGATAATATATCAATAATGAATGGTTAAATACATTAAGTCCCTCAAACTATTCATGTCATGATAGCCAACATTTCGTTTCTTTTTATATATATAGCATAACGATGACTATTTATATGCGCGCGAGTATTCTCCCCGCGTTTAATTCAAAAGTGCATGCTTTCCGTTATATATTTTTTTAAAAGGGTTCATCATAAACGTGCGGGTGAAAAAGCTGTTGTCTTCCGCGATTGTTATTAGTACAATCCTTGAAAGAGGCCTCCTTTTTAAGGCGAGGCAAAGATGCGTAAGAATTCTTACTGCTCTTATGACTATTGTTTAAGTTTGATTCGTTATTATTATATCGTAGGGTATTAGTTGAATTAACATTTTGATCTCGATTCACGTCATTGGCGACGCGATTAGATTTGCTTCTGGTTATTCTATTCTTATCCTTACCATTCAAAATTCGTCTTTGATAATACGTGTTATTTTCGAGACAATTATTTGTCCTTATCGTTAAATTCCCGTTGTTCGGAGCGTTATTCAACAAATGGTCGGCAATTTTGGAGTCATTGGGAGTATAAAATCGTCGACCATCGGAGTTACTCAAGTTCGATAATTTTAAAAGCGTGTCGCGGTTAAAATAATCGTATTTATTATTGCCGTTTTTGTTTAAGTCGTACAAATCGTTTCTGAGAATATTTGCGATGGTTGGTTTAATAGGGGAAAACATTAATAGTCCCTGGGCATTGAGAGTTGCCTCTTCATGGTTTGAGAGCAGCAATATATCGTTTTGATTGTTATTTAGATTGCCATGATTCAGAAGCCGTTGAGCCGGAGTAGGTATTTGGTAGTAATGGTTTGAGCGTTTGCTGATATCGTGTTGTTTCATATCATGAGCTATATATAAGTGAGGAGGGGTTTGTAAAATTGTTAATCATTATTTTGTTTAAATAATACCTTGTAAAGGAGAAACATAACGTTAATGAATAAATAACAATGAAGATGTATTCGTAAAAAATAACCTCTTTATTCGAAATATTTTAAAATTCGTGGGTAGTTAATTATTCGATTCAAAAATTTAATTCGCAGAATTCGTTTTTAACTGATTCGTATTTTTTATAGGTCCAATTCAACAATAACTTGATTAATCATAAAAATTTTGAGAAACATAAATATTAAAAAATAATATACCCAAGGAACCATTGGCTTTGGTAATATCATCCAAGCCACTGCCTTCGCAATAGCGGTACTCCTTATCGAATCTATAACCCAAACTACCATCTATAGAACTTTGATTGGTCCCGTTGATAATAAAATCCCCCCCGTTCTTATCGTTCGAGGAGGACGATGAGAGAAGTGAGCTTTTGAGCTTTGAACTGCCTTGCGTTAATTTCCTCCTTCTAATCCAAACGTACAACAGGAATCCGGCTACAAGAAACCCGGCGGTAAAAGAACCGAGGCAAGATATAACTAATTTATAATTGTTTTTTTGTTTCACCATCTGTGTTTGATGATCGGATAAAAGAAATTCATTGGCTAGAGTATTCGAAATTTCGGAGGAGATTTCTGTTTTTCTGTCAGAAATATCTCGTGAGTCTGTACGACTCTTTTTCCATGAAACGAAACGGGCAAGAACAGAATTATCGTCAACCAAATCTTCTTCATGAATATAATTTTGCGAGGACTGAATATTCTTCGATTCCCGGTTCGCTATATGGGGATATTTATTTTGTTTTACATTTAAAAATAGTTATACAGAGGAAATTTTATTAAAATCATTGGTCAATTTTTTTTCTTGTAGTGATGCTTCCAACTAATCATTTATTTAAGCCGTCTGAAGTGATTTTTAGACTTTGAATAAGAATCACGCTTATTTAAAAGTTACAAAAATTAAGATTAACTCAGACACAGCCTGAAAGCTTAAGAACACAATTTGAATGCAGGATTCTATAAACAATGTTTTCTTTCTTTCATAGGGTTATAAACAATCCATTTTCCTAAAACTTGATTCCTTTTTAGGTGTTTTTTTATCATTGTTTCATTATTTATCGCCCATCCTTTTATCCCTTGCATATATCTAAAGCTTTTTTGTCATAAAAAATGTCCTAATTAAAAATACTTTGAAGAGGGGAGCACGCTCGTCTGGCCACGTTGATTCCCAAGCATTCGTCAGACTTTGGCCTCCGAGTATTGCAAACTCTGAAACGGGTTTGTTCATTTTTATCAGAATCGCATGTTGCCCAAGTACTCCATGGACCCCAACCTTTATCGTAATTTGATGGGTCGGAATCAGGATACGAAATAGCGGGAAGAGAATGAGATGTTGGAACTATATCAGATTCTTTTTTTAAAAAATGATATTAAGTTTTACATATAAATTTTTTGTAGATCGATTCCTGACATCAATGTATCACTTGAACATATGTTATAGATATTAATACTAGGATTAAAAATAGTCCGCTAAACTATTTTTGCTGTTTATCGAATTTTATCAAGCAATTTATTGAGGACAATTATATTTAATTGAGATGGGATAAAATAAAAAAAAATAAAAATTATTGAAAGGCATTTAAAATTTAGCAGAAGCAGACATATTTAATAATTATATTATAGTTTAAAAAAAATCCTAACTATTATAACCAAAAAAATGAATAATTTGATATTTGGAGGAATATTTTTTCCCCAATTTATAAAATTTATTTGAATATATTTCAGGCCAAATATTAATTTTTTTAAATATTTTGAAATTATTTTCATTGGTTCAAAAAGGAAAGGTCAACGGTGTCCTTAGCACCCCTAAAAATAAAATCATATTGCGCTCGATAAAAAAAACTCATATACCCTATTCAATCGATTCCCTTTAATGAAAACCTAATAAATTTTGATTTATCAAAAATGATGTTTAAGATGACATTAATCCTGGTGGTTTGCATGGAATTTTTTTAAAGAGAGCAATATAGAGATAATTATAAGATGAGAAAATATTCTTTGTCTTGGGGTTTCTGATCCTCTTAGTTAATAATTATATTAAAAAGATTGATTTTATCAAGACTATTATGTTAATAAATTATGTTAAGAAGTTAAAATATCATTGAAACTATTTTTTAAATATAAGATCATTGATTAAATACTTTTCGATTTAGTGAACTTGCAAATAAAAAGAGATGAATTCCTAAATATAATAAAAAGTATATTTATAATATTACTTAAAAGTGTGCATTGTGTGCCAGCGTTCAAAGAACATATTCTACTTTCGGATTTGAGCAAAGGATTAGGTAAGGAATTAAAGGCATCCGCTTGACAACCGAATTTAAGCCTGGTTTGAGTGTAATAACCAACGCTATTATGTGTTACGGGAGAATTTTCAAAATGTTTCAAATCATTTTTTCCTTGGGAGTTCTCGTTGAAGTTTTTTAACAAGTTAGGATTCGTGAAATTGATGATGTACCAATCGGTCCAGTTGGAGTATTTTATGAGGTCTAAAAAAGGGTGCGAAGGGGAGGGAAATATATTTAATTGAAAAAAATCTATATATATATATTTCTTAAAACTAAATTAGAAGATAATCTTAAGTATTATGAGTTTATTATTTTTTTATTAAACAATCGAATAGTTAATTCAAGATTTTGTTCAAAAAAACCAATAATGCTTATAACCGAAACTGGGAAAAAATTTTTTGGGCAAATGACAATCGAATACCAATAAGGAATTGATTAATCATAGGATTATAGTGATTTTCCTAATTATCGAGCTATAACCGAATTTATTTTTAATCGACATCCAAAAATTAGATTCTGAAATCAATATCTTTTTTTTGTATACTCACTCGGACAACCAAAATCGTTCAAGGGGCAACTCCGGATTTCAAAATCGTTTCCCGGGCAATGTTTTCCGTCATTTTGAGGAGCGGGGTTGTTACAATGTCGACTCCTGTTTTGATACAAGACGATGGAATCAAAAGATTTTTGAATGCAATTCGTGTTGCACTCAGGTCGCCATTCAGTCCATTCCGACCAATCGCCGTTTATGGATTCTGGTTTCATTTCTGACAATTTTGTTTGTCAAGGAAAGAAAATTATACAATGTGATTTTTTTAAAAATAAAATGTGTTGAAACATTTTTTGGGTGATGGAAATTTAATAAAACTATTTTATCGATATATATATAATTCGATCATTTAAAACACGTACCAGGACAAGGCGGGTTGGAGATACACACTTGATGATCTTTTTTATTACCCATACAATCGTTGCCGCCGAACTGAGGTCGTGGATTAGAACATGATCTGTACCTGTATCTCATGGCCAAGCCACAGGTATGAGTGCACGCACTCCACGCGGACCATTCAGTCCATTCTCCATTTACTAAACATATTTGGGTTTGCCAAAATTAAATTACAATATAAAAAAATTAACATATATTAGCAGGACCTTTAATGAGTGAATAATCAAATTTTAAGTTAATACTATGTTCATTCTGCATAACGATTTCGGTGATTTATAAAATTTATATCACAAAAAAAGGATAAATTACAATGAAAAATTCAAATTTATCCCTTTAACGACAATTATTCGAATTTATGTAATATATTACCAGTGCAATTCGATATTTGGATTTGAGGTCTAGAGCAATCATCCATGTTATTCGATCTAGGCGACGAGAAAATAGGTTCGTATTCGCAGTATCTCTCCCTACATTGACAACTACCCGGAATCGGTTCTCCCGACAGTGAGACAAGCTTGTCACATTCTCTCCAATCACTCCAATCGGTGTAATGATCATCCTCTCTCCCTGTTTATTTTTGGGATAATTTTCAAATTAAAAAACTTAAATTGTGGGAAAAAATTGCAATTCGTTTTCGAATTTTAGATAGTTTTTTAAAACATTTAATCATCAATAAATCATCCAAATTAGTGTAAAATATTCAATCACTAACTCAAATTTTCGGATTTGCTACTGTGTTCATTTTTCATCTCTAAGGTATTATATCCATCCCTCATATAACTCCGCCCACTCATTTGCGCACCGTTGTACCCACGTCTCTCGAGCTTGTTGCCATCATAGTTAGGATAAGCGTGGTTCAAGGTTTGGCAGGTAGCTATATTAGGTTCCCAATATTGAGAATTAGCGTTAAACGAAAGAGACGAGGGTCTCGGAACGCACTCGTTCATCAACGTATCCCACCCACACAGAGGGTCACCGGATGTAGTGCATAAAAATTTGCTATGTGAATTCCGGTCACACTTGGACAAGGTTAATTTAAGAACAGAGGTATCGGAGAGAATGAATATGAATTTCTGAATAAATTTTATTTATTTTTTTTGGATTAGCGTGGTTTGAAAATGAAATGAAACATAACTTCAAAACTTATTTTATAATAAACTATATAGGACTAGGAAAATTTTTGGACACAAATCTATTAAAATTCTTGAATTATATATAAAATCAAAAAAGAAAATTAATTTAATTTGTTTTTCATGTATTCTAGTATAATTGGATTTTTTTAAGTAAGATAAAACTTTTTCTTAGCCCGTATTAAATATATTTAAAAAAATTCAAAATTCGTAACTTTATAAAATGATAAAATATTTCCAAAATCTTTCATTAAAATTTTTTTTAAGGTTTCGTAAATTTTGAAATTTATAATTTTTACCAAATTATTTTTATACTTCCCATTTAATTTAAATACATAACTGCCCATTTTTTCATATAATTTGTAAAATATAAAATAATATTGCTTACTTTCACAACTTTATGCTAAAATTTATCAAACTTTTATAATTTCTCTAACTTTAAAGAATTAATAAAGTTTCGTAAATTGGATAAAATGATTTGGCCACTATTTTATTTTTTACATTAAAACTAGTTTATTATTTTTTTTTCGTTAAAGTTATGAAAATTTATTAGGAAACAGCCTTATAAGTAAATTTGAATTAAAAAGAATTAAATTTGTTATTTTTAAAAAATAAGAAAAAAAAGTTTAAAAAAAATAAATAACTCACCTCGTCATAACTGAAATACAAGTCTTTAATTCTATTCTTCGGTGTATGGTTCTCGCCAAATTTGCCATTACTCAAATAGGATGAGCCGTAACTTATTGCCTTTTTGGTCTAGGCCCATCATGCGATTTATTTTGCGGCCTTTCGGGGATTCGTGTAATCGCATGATTTCTAAGATGCAGGCTTGATCACGTCGAGAACCCACCATAATATTGTCAAACCCGTAGAGGAGTTTGTACATTAACCCGTTTCCGCTAATTAAATATATCAGGTAGGACTGGTTTTGGGAATCAGTGTTAACGGAATGAACAAGCATATGAGAGAAGCTAAATGAATAAAGAGTAAAATACGATTATAAAATTTCGGAATTATAGACAGAAATGTCCAATACCCGGAAAAATACCCTTATTTCCATTCATATCTTCAGGAAAGAAAGGGGGAAAAAATTAAATACTTAAAAATTGATCATTTTTAAATTTTTGTTTTTTGAACATTCTTTCTATCTTTTTAAGGATGAGGTATTTTTGCGGTGTTATCTTGCCCATGAATATTTTTGTCCGGAGTTATTTTCGGGACATTTCCGACCGTAACAAATGAGATACGATAGAAAAAAACCATCTGATTATTCCAGGGCCCTTTATCAAGAAATAGGGGAAAAGGAGGTATGAATCAATTGCGCCATAAATCGGGGTACCCCTTTAGTGAACATACATAGTCAAATTTTTATAATTGAATTCTTCTATATTTTGGCCTTCCATTGGATTAGGTGGAGGTTAGATACTGGGTTATGGTGATATCAAATAATTAGTATATCCTTGAGAAATTAATTTAACAAATTATTTTTAAGTACATTAAAAAAAGCTTCAATGATATTGAACTCATAAAAAACTATTGTTCTATTTATAGAAGCTTACGTTGTGTCGCTGCCTTGGGTAGAACTACTGTACACTAAAGACGTTGGCAGTATAACCCTTTTCATAGTCTGATAATAGGAAGCCTGACTAACCAATTTTTCTAGTTCGGTTGTATCGTTGAAAGCCAGGAGTCGTACTTTACATAAGTCATGAGACGGATGAGAGTAAGGGTTGGGTTTGGTTATCCAGTAATAATCTTGTTTCTTATCAACGTTGCCACGTGATGAAGGATTCGGTTCCGCGCTAACCATCTGGTAAGTGTAAGGGCCGGAAAAGACCTCGTTCATGGTTGTCATATTGTAGGCGCATATGGCAGATACCTTGGAGCTTTAGAAATATAAAAAATATTAAACCAGTTTTATTATAGATTTTTTTTTGAAACAAATTAATCATTAGCATAACAAAATAAGAAAAAAATATTACGTGGGATCTTCGAACAGCGCAACAAAGATAGAATTTTCTACGTCAAAATGAACATCGATTATAGAGTCAAGTGTATGTGTTTGAAAGAGGAGATCATCATCCGTTTTTATAGTGATAGGGCAGGTTATTCTGGCTTTTCTAAAAGTAATCCAAACGTTGTCATACATAAGAGTACCCCCTTTGTCATTTTTGCACACCCTACTCACTCGCGAATATACCATCTTTAGTTTATGTTTTCATGCATTTTTATTAAATAAAAACATTAATATTATTTTTTTAGAAACATTGTAAACATAATAACTTATAATATAGTTTATTTATTATATAATTTTAAATATATTGGATGAAAATGTTATCTTACGTTTTTAAAATCCTGGGCTTCTTTGGCTACTTCTTTGAAAAATGTGTAAACGAAATCGCCAATGTTGAATATCGCGATAAATTCGGGCCCTAATTATATTTCGTAAAAAATCGAAATAATATTTTTTATTTTATTTATCAAAATCATAATTTTCGAAGTTTATCAGATAATAACTACCTTTCTAAAGGATTTTAAATAAATAGTTTCAATAAATTTCAGCATCATAAAAAAATATACATTAACTAGTATAAGAAATTTTTGTAATACTAATATACGTAACATTATGTAGTGTAAAATTTTTTAAGAATCATATTAAAACAATTTCGTTTTCACGTCAATGGGAGCAAAATTTGCGTATAGAATATAACGTCCAAATTTACATTTTATACTAAACCATATTTATTTTTCCTTTTCATAGTTCTAGCGTTTATTAATGATCAAATAATTTCCTTATCCCCATTACTATCATTGCACGTTTAAAAGAAACAAATTTTATAATATTGATATAGAAATAATAACAAACTTTTCAGCCAATCTTTGTTGTAAGCGTATTGCATTGTTCTGAGAAAAGGATCAGGTCCGAGACTTCTGTAAAATACTGCATCTTTCCCAGATAAATCTAACCAAGTTCCAACATAGTAATTTGCTGTAATAGGATCTATTAGGGAAACTGAAGGAACGAAGGAAGCGAAGGGGGCTCGGCCTTTACCGTCCATCGTTTCAAGTATGCTCCTCAGGTTATTAAACTTTGAGGAAAAAAAATATATTTGGTTAATGGTAATAGTGTTGTAAAATCGCTCCATTTGAGCCGACTTTAAAAACAGCTACATGATATTAGCCAAAATTTGCCTATAAGCCACGAGATTTTAATAATAGATGTCCAACTCTTTGTTCCATCAATGAGCAAAATCATCAAGCTTGCGTAATATTTTTCTTGACAAAAGACTGAGTTAGCCGTTTTAAAAAATCGGCTCAAATGGAGCGATTATGCATCACTGAATGGTGGTGTAAATTTAAATTTTCTAATGATAAAAATTCCTACATATAGCTAATGTGAGGCCTTATTACGATGAACTAAAAACAAAAGATTTTTATTTATGAATAAAAAATTGTTTAAAATCTGCTGTAAAAAAACTAAATTGATTATTATTTCTCATTCCGACATAGATTTTTTAATCAATTGAAGGAGTAAAAAATTTATTTTATAAAACTTTCAATTAATAACACTTTTTTTAGTTATTTAAAATATATAAATAATATTTAGAATAACTTGATGCCAAGAACACGTGGGATCTAAGCTATTGGTACCGCAAACAAATAATTTGTTATTATATTGGTGCATAATTCTGATGTAATTGGCGCATTCCTCCTATAATTATATTGATTATAATAAATATAGCTTTTCCTTTTGCAGTTTCATGGTGTATTTTTTTAATATTAATTAGATACGGATAGGACACCGATGTGACTAAAAAAAACTATGAAAAATATGGTCTAAGCAAACTAGATCTAAAATTATTTAAATAATTCCTAAATGATCCTCCTATTTTAAAAAAATATGAAAACTAATCGCATATTCTATTTTATCTAAAACGTTTTTTATCTGAATTTTTTTTATCTCCTAATATTAAAATTATCGTCGAAACTAATACAATAATTAATTCCAAAAACATTTTAATAAAATATAAAGTGTATATATATACAATTTGTTTATTATAAAAATTTAATAGAACTTGTTTCGAATCTTGGTGATGGGTCATCATGCAATCCTTGTGAATCTTTGGATCTGATACCAAATTAATACTTTCGATCTCCTCCAAGGTATCAATATTTAATCGTATCAGATGATCCCTGGATTAGGGCAATGATAATAAAAACAAGAAAAATTGTACATAATAGTTTAGTAAATCAGGCTACAAATCTTCAAAACTTTGTTTTATTAATTTAGAAAGACCAGATTTTGCCTAAAATAATTAGAGAAAAAAAAATTGTGGTGCGTTTTTGAGCTATTACTCACATGATATTAAATTATTAATATGATTTAATATTTCATATTTAAAAAATACACAAATTTTATAGGACAAATTGTCTGAAATATACAGGGAAAGTAAATACAAGATAGAACATAATTCGGGCAAAATTAAGTCTTCCAATATTAAAAAAGGCGCAATAATATAATACTTTTTAAAAAAATGCGAGAAACCAGGGGCTGAATTTTCTAAACACACACGGCTTATAAAATTTAATTTGCTTTTTATTAGTTGAATTTATATGAGGAGTCGGATTAACACAGCTTAAGCAAATTGATTTAAATCAATTTTTTTGAATACAAATCACGATTTAAAATTAATTTTCTTTTTTTGCTGGTAATTTAAATTTTAATAAATATTAGTCTTTATTTTTAAATAAAAAAATTTGATTATATATTATCTTATTATATTTTGTATTTAAGTTAATTATATGCGAAATTAAACTAATTAAAAATAATTTTTAGTGGGTTAGTTAGACTTGAAATTAATTTTATAATAGAATAAACTCCTATAAAAAATCAGTTTAATTAAAATTGGTTAAATTTAAGGATTATAATTTTTATTACTTCACTTTGCCATTATTTAAATAAATATTGATATTTTGATATTAAGAAAATTAATACATATTAAAATTAGTATAAATTGGTATTATTAAATATTGATAATTACAGATAATAAGGATAACGTACTTTTTAGTCAATCGCAAATAGCTTTCTTTAACAATAATTTATTCTTAAATTTGACAAAAAGAGTTTTTTAACGTAATAAAATATATTTAGGACATAGAAAAAAAATTGTGATTTAATCAAAAAAAATGAATTTTTCATATTTTTACCGACCCTACAGTAGTGGGATATTAAATTAGTTAGGGTGTATTTTATGTTATATATATGCTAAATTTTAGTTTAGTACAGTTTACCATTTATTCCTAGAAAAAGAGAATTAATCCAATTCTATATAAAGATAATAAATTATTTTTAAAAGAAAACAAAATTAAAATATTCAATTATAGCTTCTAGCAAAGGTGTATCGAGATCGACAATATAAAAAAAATGACAAAGTTCTTAATTTCTCGTTTTAAGCGAGTATGTATATTTTTTTTAAATAAAAATATGACAATTATCAATTCATTACCATATTTTTAAAGAATTTTATACACACTCTCATCATTATAATATGATGTGATTTCGCCCAGAAATATTTATTATTAAAATAGAACTTACCAATAAAAAAGAGGAAAACAATGATATTTCGTCTATATATCATAATAAAAAACAATTTTAAAATAATAAACCTAGCTCCGACTATAACAGTATGAGTATTAGGGTCGTTAACAAGGACGCTATAGTTTCTCGTGTGCGCTGATGAGTATTTCATAAGATACGGCTGGATTTCTATTAAGTTAAATATAAAAGTATATACCTTTTTAAAATGGCCATTTTATATTATTTTGTTAATTTTCCTTCGAGTTATTGGCGGAGTTTGAAATACTCTTCAAAATAAAAAAGATCTTCAAGGATTTTTATCAAATTTTACCTAAAAATCTCAAATTTCATGATCTTCACAAATACTTTTTGTTGAAAATTTTGAGGAAAAAAATCATCTAATAATATTTTTTCTCTCTCTCAAACTCTGGTTTTGGGGCATAGCAATACACTCCAACAAAAATATGGCAGATATAAATTTTAGCTCCGATCCGATTTTAAAGCCCGAATTTTTTACCCTAGGATTTATTTTACGGTTCCAGCCCCAAATTTTAAAATGTCTGGCTTATTTTACACAAATTGTTTCAAAGGCTTGGTCTTAATTTAGCCGAATTTAAATAAAGATTTAACAAAAATAAAATTACGAAAGCCTCGGGAGTTTGATATTATGAACAAAATTTCCAGGTTTGCATACAATTTTTTGGATAAATGGGTTATTCATTTTAAAAAATTAAAACAACACTATGGCCGGTATACTCGGAAAGGGGTTTGGTGCACACTGAGGAATATCAAACCTAGCGTAAAAAAAATTCTCCTCTCTTAAATAATTGTAAGTTGTGAAAGTTTGTTAAACCATTATATTTAAATAAAATATATAAATTTATATAAAAAATAATGGTAAAGGTGAATAGAATTTTTTACACTTATTAGAAAACAATACTAATTATATTTATGTTAAAAGAAGTTTACATTAGAAAAAAATATATATTTTTTTAAATTAATTATGGAGGAGAAAAAAAACGTGAAACCACAAAGCTATTTTTTTTTATTTAAAATAATTTAACTAAATAAAATGAAATGTTATCTTTCAATTTAGATCTTTTATCTTAATAAATTCATTTCTATTATGTATTGTATATTAATAAATTAATATTGCATTCAAAATATTATAAACTGCATAATTTTATTTTATTAAATTATAGAAATCATCATATTTCTACTTTTGTGAATATACGCTAAGCAAATTTTTTATTAAAGTCATATAAAAGTAGTAAGAAAAATATAGTAATGTGCATCATATAATAGCGAAAAATATACATTGTCAAAAAAAAGTTAAGATATTATCAAAAGGTCGTATAATGTTTGAAAAAAATAATAATATTAAATATTATTGTATAACGTTTAAACAAAAATAGGATTTATTGAAAAGGTAGTGGTCTTGTAAAATATGATTTGTCAATAAATTATAAATAAATATATTATAATTGGGATCCTTTTTGATTGAGCAAAAAATAATATTATAATGACTGGTTATCGATTTGCCTTTTCTTTGAAGACTGTGATTATCACATTTGCGAAGTTTGCTTTTATTCGGTTTATTTATAGATTGATCAAAATTTCGTGATTGTTGCAAAAATTGGGTTCCAGCGGTATGCAATCAAAATATTTACAATTTTTGCAGGAGTATGAGGCCTCGGGGTAGCCGTAGAAAACGATGAAAAGACCCGTATATAGACACACGACACCTATAGCCGAAAGGATGAGTGTCACGAGCTTGCGTCTTTTATCGAAATGTCCGAAAGTCAAGTAGGGCATGAGACAAAATGACATCAAAAACCCGAAAACGAAGCCGAACACGTGGGAATAGTTGTCTATCCATGGCAAGAAGCCTAGCAATATCAAGAGGGTGTAGAGGAAAAGCATTTTGATGAGAGCCAGGGAAGGTGACTTGAGAATTTGCCAAGCTTGAAACAATTCGACCAGCAAGCACGCTAATACCCCAAATTGGGAGCCCGAAGGACCAGCGTCGGCTCGGTCGGGTAAAAATATAGCACTACCCAGGTTTCCGCCCATACCGCTGACAAAATATAGGACACCTAACCTGAGAGGACCGCATAACTTCTCCAAATCTCTCATCAGAGTGAGTTGAAAAATCACAGTGATGCATAGATGAAGGAGACCGGCATGGAGAAAAAGGGATATCCAAAGCCTGTATATCTGGTCAGGAATTTTGACGATTTTGAATACCATTTGTTGTCGGTATTGCAATACACCATGTTTTTTAGATTGAGGAGTGGGTAAAGTTGTCGAAAAGGGTAGCATGCCGCAAACATCTGCTAGACAATCGACTTGGGAACAGAGATTAGCCTCCCCGTGAAAGTGGCCTCTAACAAATGAGCAATACGATTGCGTGGTCACTATACAAACACCTCGGATACCTATGCAACATGGTTTACCGATAATGTCACAGCTCATGTGTGGCGGTAATAGATAGGATGTCTCGTCATTCTCTAAACCGTATCTACTGTTATCTTCCTTTTTAGATGTCATCACGTGTTCGTTCTTTGATTTACTTTTGCAAACGGGCCAGAGCGTTAAATCGTTGGGCCAAGGTCTCAAGTGTGTAGATTTTGGATTATCACAATAGTTTGGATCTTGACCACACACTGTTCCTACGCTGGATGAATACTTGATCCAATCAAAAAATTGAACATCCAGACAATCGGCCCTCGCACTTTGAACACACCCTGAACCATCTCTACGCACACAACATGCCGTTTTGTTTTCCGATGCATGCCTGAGCTCGATTTCCTTCCACACAACGGGATCTTTCCTCATACAAGGAGCGTATTTAGCGCCTAAATGGATCAATGAAAACGGAGTCGGGCCGACCCAAAAATTTTCAGGTTCTAAAAAACCTGCCTTTTCAAGAGATAGCGATGTTTTTAACAAAATCTTCTCGTGTTGTCTAAGACCAAAACCCCAGGGGCCTATACCATATATGATGAGGGCGGCGATGGTGACTATTATTTGAATCGTTGTTATCCAGTAAGTAAAAAAAGGCCGGTAATCTTCTAGCCTCTTGATGCTCTCCACCAAATTTGGGTCTTCCCATATTTTAGTCGCGTTGTACCCGGAATCATTGATAAGGTCCATAAGCATACCCTGACCTATGTATCGTTTATTAAGTTCGGATGATTTGCTCATGACTTTATGAATGACGTCCTTGCCGATTCTCTTCATGCCGCTGAAAGCTAAATGTTCTGGTTTGGGTTTCGAATAAGTAATTTTGTCTCCTTCCGCAATATGTCTGGGATGGTAGGGCTCGTAGTGTTTATACCGTTCTGGTGGCTCTGAAAAGGTAATGCTTCCTAAGGCCCTTTTATATATTTGTGCTTTGATATCTACGATCTTTTTAGTACTATCATTAATTGGATGTCGAGTTTGAGATAAATTTCCAATAGTTGGTGAGTAATCGAAAAATACCTCGTCACTTATGTAAGATGAATCGGCGGGTAAAGTACCCTTTTCCAGGCGCCTCATATCCAAACCATCAGCCACATCGACAGGAGTTACAATTGTAGTTGGGGTTGTTTGGTCGCTTGAAGGTTTTCTAAAATCATTTAAAGAACTAGGAGTAAAACTTCTAGTCCTACATACTAAATTGGTAGGTTCATTCCTAAAAGAGCGATATATAAACGGGTGCTTAGCGGTAGTAGAAGTGTCTATCTTCCTATCATCGCGCAATCTTTCTCTCAAGTTCTTTAGTCCATCCCATGCTATTTCGGCTACCGATTGCCGCCTACTAAGCTTTCTAATCACGTCCAACTTTTGGTTCTCTCTATAATCGAGACTACTTTTTGACAAAGTGGGCTGCTTTTCTATATTAATATTCCTTAATTTTTCGGAATATTTAATGCCATCTTCATCAGTTCTATGATCAATGATCGGATAATCGACTTGATCAAATTTATTTACGTCAATCTTGGCCGGGCATTTTAGGTGACCGCATCTCCTTGAAGCTAACCTGAGTCTACGTAGTGAAAAATCCTGGATAGGATCGCAGCTAGGTGATATTCCCAAAAAATCGCGAGTGGTTTGGCTCAGAGATCTTTTAACAATGTCCCACTTTGAAGAAATTCTGTTGTTATCTTTCATCCTGTTGTTTGAAGATTAGGCAAGTTATATCATCAAAATTTGACTATCACAAAGATAAGAGGATTATGATCAAGTTTTAATAGAAAGGATAGTTTTATTCATATAAAAGATAAAAAGGTTATATTTGGATGTATCAATAAAAATTTGTTTATTCAATTTTTTTTCAAAATTTATATTATTAGGTTTCAATTTTTATTTTCATAGTAAATTATTAATGGGTAAAAAAAAATTAAATAAGAGGTAAATATTTTATCAATAAAACTATTATAATAATAACTAATTATATTGTAATCTTTCACCTGTCCACTAATAAAACCAAAATAATAGTAAAAAAAAATCATATTTTTCATACTCTTCATTTATCTAAATAAAATAAAGGTAATTTAAAAATATTTACGTTATTTTATATCATAAAGAGAAGAGAATAAAATAAGAAAAATATTATTTACAAACAAAAAATAAAAGATATAATTATATTGATGAATAAATAAATGTAAATAGGCAGGGAGTTGTGTTTGTCTTGCTTGTCTATCTAATTTATATAAATAAATAAAAATCGAATAAAATTGCAAGGGTAAAAAAAAACATCCATTCATTCATTTTGGGATGTTCGTTACATGTTATTACATTATATTTTATATAAATTCAAATTTCAATTATCCCACTTTAAAAAAAACTACCAACTACTATTTTAGTACTCGAGTAAAATCGACTCACGGCGAAACCAAATAATTTAAAATTAACCTCTAGGACGAAGTTATAATTTTAAAAAATTTTTAGAGATCGGTGGGTACGATTAATATATATTTAAAATAACGGGTCAATTAGAGTTCCACAATGGACGAGTTTTTAGACCGCCCGCTCACAAAATATTTCATACATTGGGCAGGCAGGCGAGTTTTAAAACAATGGGCGGGTGAACTTTGAATATTTTTCGGGTGAAGAGCAGAACAATTATTTTATTAATAAAGAACCAAACCAATCATTAAAAAAAATTCTGGGTTAAATAAAATTTTAGATAAATGGGTTGGTAAATTTAAAAAAAAACATGGGCGGGCGGGAGTTTATGAAACTGGGAAAGGCGGTACAGAGCGAAGGAGAGAGATAGAGACTACCAAATTTGGTTACAATATATATTTAAAAAATGGTAATTTTCGAAAAGCCTAGTCGATAAGGGGGTCACTTGTCAATCCGGTGATTTTGAGTTAGAATCCAGCAAGGATCATGTTATTTTCCTGAAGTCAACTTGGTGGTTTCGTCCTTGGGGAAATGATATATAGTAGATCGACCACATGATTCAGTTAATATAATATTAAAAATAAGTGGGTCTTATTGAAAAATATACATTTGGCAGTGCCTCAAAAATTCTAAAATATATTCGCTCGGTAATGCCTTTAGTAGTAATCATTATCAACCGCGGGAGAGTAAATTAAATTATTTAAACAATGGGCAGGCGGGCGTTTGTCCAAAACTCTAGGCCATATAGATATCCATTTACCACTAACTACTTCCCACAAGGCAGCTCATACAGACTAACTACAAAATGCCCCAAAGCGTCAATTTTATAAAATGCGCAAACCGAGGCATTCATATTAAATTTCTTTATTAAAGGCAGAGCCGGATTTCTGAAAACCCAATCAAATTAATTATTTCCCTCTTAGCACTTAAAAACTTTCCGCCATCTTTGCTTGCGATCCAATATTTTTAATTTATTTCGGATAGAACTTCCATACCCCATTTTTAAAATAATAATTTTTTAAAAAAAATATGTTCGATGCAGGGCAGAGTTCTTTAATTTATAAAATGTTTTTTTTGCTATGCTGATGTTTTTTCTCTTTTATCCTGCATTCACAGTTAGCGCAAATCCGCGGCGAAGTAACTGTGAATGAGGGTTAGTTATTTCAATGCCGTCAATCGCCATTCATAATATAAAAGAATCAATGCATATAAAAATATAAAATTAAGAAAAAATATGTTAGAGCTAGGCTTTTTAAAAAAAAAATTTTTTTGCTAAGCTGGTCAATGTCGTCAATCGTCATTCAAATATAAAATGCATATGTATAATTGTGATTGTGACATAAAAAATTAATAACTAAATATTAAATCATTTTCGATTTTAGAAAATAAAATTATGATACTTAGGTAATAGTTTTGATTTGACCTGAAGTAAAGATTAATATTTAAAGATATAATTATATTATTTATGTAATATAAGAATTCACATAATTTCTCACATAACAGTCATGGCCTACATTTTATAATAGTATATTTTAATTTAATATGGGGATTTATATCTTATCGCATTAAAATCATAAATGTGGACATACACGTAAATTATATTTCGCATTTTAGAACGATGATGCTAATGATAGTATTATCATCCTTCAAAAATCATTTAAAGTGTAATCATTATATTGCAAATATATTATACATACTTGACTCTAATTTAAATGTCAATATTAAAATATTTATTGAAAGAGACTGCGAAAAGTTAATAAATAGTTCAAATTTATTTTAAAAATATCCTATTTTTTTAAGGATAAATATCTATATTTTATAACAATCATATTTTATAGGTTAGTTCCATGCTAAATCCAGGAGTACATAAAGGGAAACGGGCGGGGCAGTGGCCTCGGGCCGTTAATATTGGATTATTTTAGGAACCGTCTAATTTTATATCGTAAGCATAATTTTGTTAAAAATTAAAAAGCTCGATTTCGCCAATATTAAAATCAGCAAAATAAAAGCTTTTAACAATGCTACTAACTATATTAATATTACTTAATTCAGTCATTTATTACAAACTATTTGAATTTTGTGCTCTATTATATTGCATAAATATTATCAAATTCATATTCTTAAAAATGAAGAACTTAGCTCTTTACTAAAGCATAGGTAAATTGCTAGCCCTAATAATTTGTTAAAGTCTGACGAATTTTATATTCGCATCAATTTTTTTTAAAAAGAGTGACCATTCAAATTTTTAATGATTTTTTATGCATGAAAATTATGAAAAAGAGCTTTTTTGAAAGGATTTTGGCATTTTTAGGTAAAATTTGATCAAAAATTTCTATTCTTCAAAAAAAGAAAAGATTTTTTTCAAATTTTGAATATTTTAGATTTAAGTCTAATTAAATTTTCCGGAATTTCCCAAAGAACAAATTTTTTAGCAAAATTTATTGAATGAACCATGCTTTTTTAATAGGACAATCCCAAAGTCAATGAGCAATTGAGCGACTTTTATTCATAATTAAATTTAGGTTATTCGAAAAATCTTGATATGACAAACAAATTTGGTTTTGATAAATTTTCAAAGGAAACCCGTTTTACGGATTTTGATTTCATATAATTTACAAAATTTTTCCAGATTATGACATTTCCCCCGCTTTGTGTTTTAAACTGAGCTTCAAATACTCTTCAAAATAAAAAATCTTCAGAGATTAATAAATTTTTTAAAAAAATTTGAGAATACAATACACCAACGTTTTATCAAATTTTGCCTATAATTATAAGTTTTTTTTAAAAAAAATCTTTTGATCTTCTTTTAAAAAATCTTCTTTCATGATCTTCAATTCTCATAATTTTGGGCAAAAAAATATCTTCAAAGAATCATTGAAGATTTTATTTCTAATAAGATTTTTTGCTCATATTCTTGGACAAAAAATATCTTCAAAGAATCATAAATTTTTTTTATTTCTTCAAACTCTGGTTTTAAATTTCATCTCTCATTTTAAAATGACGCGAATATTGTAAAATTTAAAGAGTAACAAAAATTAAATTTATTTTATTTATGAACCCTACGGTCTAAGGCTGTTATTTCAAAAACTATTACAACTCGCTAAGCTCTAATATATTTATGAAAGAAGCTGACCAAAAAAACGACTTTGAAACAAAATATATTTTTTATAAAAGGGTTTGAAGTGTATAAATAACTTTATGGCCGCGTCATAGCTCGACTTAATTATTGTTCTTGATTCTGAATTCAATTCAGAATAGAAGCCTGGTCACCCATTTTTTTAAATTTTTTTTTATAGATTAGGACATCAGTTTATGAAATTTTTAAAATATGTTTAAAAACAGATATTTAGAAATCTTAAAGGAAGAAAGACGAGCTAGGGCACAGCCTATATTAGAGATAAAAAACCCTTTTTAAAAAACCAGTCGAGATAAATCGTGCCGGATACTTTAAAAAAAAAATTTGGTCAGACCGGGCTAGTATTTTTAAATACATTGAAATTTTGTGAAATAAATTGATACATTTTAAATTTACTAGAAACAAGGCGCAAATATATTTTTATTTGTGTATTATTTTTAACAATTAATTTTTCCATATTTTAAATAAATTGAGGCCAGGCCTGGCGGACAAATAATTTTTATTTTAGGGCGGACTTTTCGTTAGGCATGATGTAGATGACTAGCCTATATATTTAATCCGTATAAAAAAATATTATATTCATTCCTCAACGTTATTTCTGCTTGATCAAGATTTTAGCCAAAATAATATATTATTATGCAAGCCTGGAGATTTTGCTTATAGATAGCATAAAGGTTTGGTAATATTATTATTTCGGCTAAAAAAATTTATCGGGTCATTATTAAAAATTGACCCAAATCGGGCTTTTTAAAAACACTACTCAATGTTTAATAAAGAATGAATAACACTAAACACTCAAAATCAAATAGCATAATATAATTTAATTTTTAAAAAAATACAAGAAGTTTAGGTGAACTGGAAAAATTATGATTACATCTTATCATAAGGATTTTTATAAAAATATTTATATATATCTTTTTTAGTCTAGATTTGGCTAAATTGAATTAAAAAAGATAATTATAAAGTTTTCTATTAAAAATAAGATAATGATAAATGTAATATTTTTTAATTTAATTACCACATTAATTCATAATGTCTTTTTTTTGGTCTATAAATATTATTATAATGATTATTCCCATGTTAGTATTCGAGATTATCATGGCCTGGCTAGTAAAGGTTTTCGATTCGGCCTTTTTTTAACCCGGTCATTAATAATTTTTTATAAAGGAAAAAAATAATACATTTTAGCATAGGGCAGATCTCTGCTTTGTATTATCGTTCTGATAGTATGGCTAGAAATCTTTTCGATTTTCCAAATAAAAAAATTGCCACGTAATGGGGTACTAAAGATCATATGGAAGCATATAAAAAAATTATACTGGGAACCAGGACTGTGCCGATATTTCGCGTATAACCGAATCAATCCGAATATTTTTATTGTATTTGCTTATTTAATTATTAATTAATACATAATTAATTTCATATTAGATTGATAAAAGGAACCAATATTCAATTTATTTGTAATAAAAAAAATCTCTTCAATAAAAAGGATTTTAAGAATCTAGCGGCTCAAATTTCTCCAGTAAAAAAAGACGACTTTAGTCAAATAATTACCTAAGCTTGGAGATTTTGCCACAGATGGTAGAAAGATTTGAACATCTATAGGGGAAAATTTCCAGGTATTGTAATAATATTTTGGCTAAATCTTGATTTCGATATCTATTATAGGATAAAATTTCAAACCTCACATTATTAAACTAGTTTTAAAATAAATTAGATTGAACTCAAGTGTCCCTTGTCCGCTATACCCTGGTCTCTACTATTCCTTTTTTTATTCTTTGCAACCTGATTTCAAATTTATAATTTAATATCATTCACTATGTTATTCGAGTTATTCAAAGGCTTATTCTTTGATACATCACAGGATTCACTGAAAACTGTTTTACAAGTCAAATAATCAATTTAATTATTGATTTTCAATTTGCGTGCCAAAGTGGAAAATAATTATTTCTTTAAAGCTAATTATTTTACCAATCCTATCTCTATTTAACCTAGAATTGCAAAAATTAGAATAATATTTTTTTAACAAAGAGTCAAATTCGAAAATTTAACATATAAAAAATATTGTATGATACATCCCGCTGATGTGACAATTATTGTAAAAAACATTTAAACTAAATTATTTTGCGTTATTATATATATTATAATAAATTTATTCCCATAAAATACATATTTTTTTTAAAAAAATAAATGCATATCAAAGAATTGTAGATGTATCTATTGGTCGGCCAAAATTTCAACAAAAAAAATTATATCCATCCTAGCCCAGTATATATTTTTGGCATGGATTTTCATTTGTGATCATTTTTTCTAAAATTTTCATTTTGAATAGTGGTTGTATTTTATAAATTGTTTAAAAGAATAGACTGTATTTCGGATTAATTCATCCCATCTCTAGTTTTAACTTTTTTAATTGAAATATAATTTAGTAATAAAATATATAATAGCCTATCCCACAGTTTAAAAAAAATCACCCTATTTTTAATAATATTATTATCATATTATAAATTATAAAACTAATTTTTTTTAAAAAAAATATTTTGTTAAACTATTTTAAAAAAGTAAAAACTTACCTTTTTTAAAAAAAAAACTCAATTAAATATAAAAGTTTAATTGACATTTTATATTTGATGACAATAAATATCATACACTACACAACACGTGAAACTTTAAAAATTCTTCCCAAGACCTATTAACCCGTTTAAAAGAAAATTATAGATTTATTTTTACTTTTATAAAATAAAATTTCCAATTATAATTATTCAATATTTTTTTACATTAAAAATAATGAGCGAGGAGAAGGATCATATTTTCTTAATTCATAATAATTATAAATATTTTTTAAAATTTTTTATACAATAAGTATAGTATAAGAAAATAAAAATATTGCGTTTCATTATTAAAAATATTAAAGTTTTTAAACTATTAGCAATTATAAATAAAAATGATTTTATAAATTTATTAGCTGAATAAATGAAAAAGAGATGACAATTATCACACAAAAAGAATAAAATATACGAAATCGAAATGGCGTCACAAATGTAACCCATTCATAATTTTAAATGTACTCGATAAAATAAAGAGTTTACCCGACAACCTAACTTAATGTTTTTTAAACATATTATCATGAAAGTAATTCGAAACTCTATCTACCAACCCGATTGAAGAAAACCCACCACCCGTAGGTTTGGGAAAACCCACCCGTCCATAGGATATTAAATTATTATTTTTTATTTTAATGGTGGGTCAGAATAAAAAAAATATTTATTGGGTGGTATAAATAATGAAATCGACTTATAGGTCTGAAAAGAGGAGAATATGGGCACTCTTTAAAAAATATTTTATGAGCGGGATGGGATAATGTTTATTAAAAATTATATCCTTATGAAACCTGCATATTTTATAAAAAGTAAATAATAATTATAATAATTATTTATTATATTACAAATGATGATTTGACGGGTTATATTAATAATTTATATATGCAATGTAACTCGTTACTTTTAAAATGTAACGAGTAGTTTAAAAAAAACACATGCCACAAAATACTTTTTAAACATGTAATTAGCAGATGAAAACTAGTTCCTTTTCAAAAGTAACTTCTAACAATAACAACACTAATAAATATTGTATGAATATAAGAATCATGAACCAACCAAGCGGGCAGTTATAATATTTATAAAGGGTGGGCAAAATATTTCTACAACCATGGGATGGCTTAAATCGAATTATTTTCCCGGTAATTATATTTTAAAAGTTAAAATCTTTCTATGACCAAAAAAAGACGAGAGCGGTCAACTAACGGAGGCTTAATATCGAACTAATATATTTCTATTATTTAACCAGGATATTTTTTTTAAATATCAGTTCAAATTTAAATTACCTACTGTACGTACTGTTATTATATTAGATCAAATTAGATAATAAATTTATAACAGATTGATAATTCTATCCATTTTCCTTATTATTGTAATATATAATTGTAATTACTTTTATTTATATAAATATTATATTAAAATGTATCATGATCATGAACATGATTTGACTATTATATATATAAAAAAAATTGAAACTTTTTTAAAAGCAATGGGAAAAAAAAATATATATTAAATTATATCATCATCGCAAAATTTTCACCTTTTGACAAAAAAAAGAGTTTTTCCCCATTTCGTGCTCATTATATTTTGTTATAAAAAAATTTTTGTTAAAGGTTGGATGAATTGAATTAATAATACATATTAAATATATATTATATAACTATTAAATTTAAAAAATGTCTTCCATTATTTTATATAGTAGTATACAAAAAAATGGGGGGGGGGGGAATTAAGAAAATTTCAAAGATTTCTCTTATTATTTATACATATTAGCATAGTTATAATATAAAAGAAAAAAATTTAATCACCGTGAAAAATAGATTTTGTAAAATAATTCGTAATTAGATATGCGATGACAACGACAAATAAATATGCGGAATAATTGCATTGATATTTTATATTATATTAAAAATAAAATTATTAATGGGTAATCAGATACATAAAATGTATAGCTATCGCATAGTAATTTGTATTTCCTCTTCCTTTTTTTTTATAAAAAAATATATATTTGAAGGTAAAAATAAAAAATTTATTTCCCCCCCCCCTCCATTTTAAAAAATATATAATTTATTCGCAAGATAATTGACTAAAGAATATTTTTAAATTGTGAGAAAAATTGTAACAAAAAGGTACATTACCAGCGCTAATATTTTAAATTTAAAAACGCGTATAAATATAACCAATCTTAGTTTGGCTTTAAAAAATATTTTAATACCAGAAGAATTTTAAAAAATTAGCAAAATCGTATATTGTGTTGTTAAAGTAAATAGTTACTTTTGGAAAACGTATCTTAAATTATTTCTTAATTTAAATTGCATTTTCATTTAAATTTGGAAAAAAAAATTAAATTATTTAAAAATGATGATCTGTATAAATAATTTTGGATTACATTGGAAAATATAAAGAAAAGATTCTATATTGACTATGTCGTACGCTATGGACATTTTTATTTTAGATTTTCTATCCCAACAGTCCCTAAGGCTCATCTATCCCCGTACCACTTTAAAATAAAGGATAAACTATATTGACATGTGTCGCCTAGTTTTTTTAGTTACTCCTATCTTTAGTGATTCAAATGGTCAACGTTACAAATTAAATTTTTCAAAATCTTTGGGGGTGATTTAAGAATAATTCGGTGAGAATAAGTCGGAGAAAATATATTCCTTTGACAGGGCTTTAATTGGTGCATTCTGCTGAGAAATAAAAAAATTAGAATATATGGGAAATTTATAATGGGTTTCTTATGTATTCAAAACAAACGATATAATATGCCATCCTTTAATGTTGTTAAACGGCCCGATTACGATTTTAGCCTGTGAGCTAATTTAGCAGCATCACCTTGCATGTTATTTTATAACCACTAAGAACGCTTGATGATTTAATTTGACATTACAATATAATTATATAATAAATTCAATCCCATTTTATTAATTTTCAGGCTAATATGCCTTTACTTGTATTTTATAACGTTTTAACTATTGGTCATTTATGTTACGATTTTGGCAAAATTATAAACGTTCTATTTCTTACAGTTTTTAATACACTTTTTACAATTATAGTAGATTGAACATAAAATCTGAAAATATTTATTATAATGCTAACATTTTTATTCCGAATAATATAATTTTTGTATTAAGGTGCCAATTATTTTTATATACATTGCATAATAAAAATTTGAACTAAAAATTCTCCATCTACGGAGTATTATAAGTTAGTGATCTGCATCGGGACTAATTTTTCAAGCCCGGCCCGACCCGAATTTATTTAAAATAGAAATTAATTTTTATATTTACTCAAAATAAAAGACATATGTTATATGTCGTTTAGTTTCAATAAATAAAATCAAATATTTTTATTTTACATAAAAAATACAATATAAAATTGAGAAATTTAGATATATTTAAAAAAAATTCCAAGGTCCGACCCGGCCCAAATTTTTTTTAAAAATATTAGGCCCGGCCCGGGCCTAACTTTGCAGATCTCTATTATAAGTAATATTAAAAAATTTGGGTTTTTAAAGGGTTCAATCAAATATTATAACATTTTTTTTACCTCTAAAAGATAAAAAGTGTCCGACGAAAGGAATGGGATGACTAAAATCAGAATTTAGCGGGAGTAATGCCATCAATAAAAGATTAAAGTTTAGGATAGGAACCATATTCAGGATAGGTTGTCGTGTTGTGACCAAGTATATAACGAATTTAATTGGGATATTAGTTGGATAATTCAAAACGTCGGTAGTCGTTCATCTGTAAAATTAAATTCAAAATTTATAAAGGTAAAATCTAATAATATTTTTTTAAATATTATAATCTAAATGTTGCATCTAAAATAATTATTTTTTTTTCACAATTTAATTAATATATAGAAGAATATATTTATATGATACACACAAATGATTATTTATAATTAATTATACATAGGATAAAGTGCAATATTAATATTTTTTTAAATTATAATAGGAAAGTACAAAATAATTACCAGTTTGCTTAGTTGTAAAAGACCTCAACAAAATATAGATTTTAATTCCCAAACCACTTAAATCAGAGAAATTGTCTAAGAGACCGTTCTATTATATTTTTTTAATCGCAACTTTTTCCAGCACAGTAATTTAAATTGCTGCTTTTTTTAACACTGGCAGGAAAAATTATATTATTTAATATCATCTGAATATGAATGGGATAAAAAATTTCGAAACTCCTCTGTCTAAAATAAGCTAAAAATAGCTGTTCTGTCAACGATAAATGATTTTTATATATGGATATGGAAACATTTTCATTTTGCGAAATTCGGTTTACCGATTATTATTGGAATTAGAACCTTTGTTAGAAGATCGAAATAAAAAGGCAAGTGACTATAATTAGAAATATAAAAGATGTTATATTATAGTAATCTAATCTATGGGTAATTTCATAGAAACTGAGGCTTCATTCATAGCAAGCGTGAAACATCGCGGTTGGTTCAAAGATGCGTAATTTATAAAATTAATGTTATATAGTTATTATGTTCAACGTAGAATTAATTAAGCATCGGTTGAGCGACATAGCGGTATTTCGCGCTTATTATAAACAAGACCTAATTATATTCTAGTCCACATCAATTCGTCATAGATGTTTATGATGCTGAGACATAAAAGATATACCCTCATAAATGCCACTAAGTCACATGCTTCGTTATTTTAATCCTGCAGATTGTCATAGGATAAGCATACAAGGGGAAGACTACCTTAGATCTTAGGGGATTCTCTAACATACCACTAATATAGAGTTGCCAAGGGTTTACAAAAAAGAAAAAAAATATTATACTAAGTTTTTAAAAAAATTTGCTTCGCTCGCGTCCATAAAACATATGCGCTTTAAATTTTAACATTTTTTTGAATGGTATTAAAAAAAATTTAGACATAAAATTTATGATTATATTCATATATTTTTTTATGAAAAATTGAGTATAACATATGTTTTAGGGGTTATGGTTATGGTTATCCATCTATTTCGTTGTATTTGTTTTGTATTACATTTTGTTTAATATGTAAACGAGAATGTTGTATTTAGTCCATTATTTTATATTTTTAATTTAATCAAAGCTAATTCAATTATTTATTATAAATAAAATATCAAATTTATTATCATCCATCCAATAATAACTATATTTAACAAAAGATTACAAACGATTTTCATGGAAAAGCCGAGAAAAGTTCACGAGAACTCATTTTTTAAAAATAACTACGATTTTCTGAGGGCTCATCATTTACAAGGCAGATTTTTAGCGGGAGGGGAATATAAACTTAATCATTTAGAGTAATTATATATAGCAGCAGCATCGTCATTTAATTTCAAATTCTATTAAAACCATCTTATAAATGTATATTAACCATAATACACCATATCTCTATGGCCCTTTTAAGTCCAAGAAGTTGGTTTCAGAAAAAAAGTTAGTTCTAATAACACTGAATGATGGAACTCAGGTCTAAATAGCTTACTGCGCCTTCTTAATCAGTCTAGATCTTATTCATAATTTGCGCGAATTATATAAAATACTCTGTATTTTTGTATTCTCCGCCATGAATTCGCACCCAGTTTGCACGAATTCGCGGCGAAGTATACAAAATATGTATTTTTATATAAATCGCGGCGAATTAGCGTCAACTGTGAATTCAGGGTAACCTCTTGAGCCACCTTCGTTATTCAAAAAATGATATATTTTTGTTTATATGAATAATTTACGAGATTACATAGGTTTTTGAATATTTTATATAAAAACCAATAAAGTCCGAAAGGTTATGCATCATTACTCGATAATTTACCACGAGGAGTAATATAACTTCCGTTAATTTTGATAAAAATTTATCTAAAAACTAACAATATCATAAATATCTATTAATAGCCGTAAGATAGCCGTCAAAAATGACAAGCAAATCAGATATTTCTCACTATTTGATGATGAATGTATCAGAAATTTGACTATTTAATGAGGTATGAATCAGAAGCTTACCTTTATTCTGATGGCTTCCAATTTTTTTTTTATTATTTAGATAAAATATGTCAATGAAGTGTATATGTATATTTCGTATCTTCAATACAAACAAATAAACTGAACATATTTGTAAATTTACTATTACTAGGATATCAATTTTATAATGTCTCTAATCTTTTCAACTATATTAATAATAAAGGAGAAATTTCTGATAACCCTGTCATTCTTGACAGGCTGTTTGCAAATTAATATGATAGCCTTGATAATGTTTATCAAAAAATATCATACCAATATAAAGTACTCGGTTAAAAATAAAATGGCGCCGTAAACCGAATATTAATTTAGAACGCAACACACTTGAATTATTTGATATTTTAGGCAAAACTTTTCAGATCGCCAAATTAAAAAAATATCGACCTTTTAAGCTAACTGGACAAATAGAAATACTTATATCTCGAAAAACTAATGTTTCCAATTCCAATTAAGTTATATTTAAAAAAAAAATACACTTTGAAAAAAAATTAAAATTATATAAATAAAAAATTAACAAATTATTATTATCAAGCAGAGATTAAGGCTATCTCTATCATCTTTGGATATTATAAATAAGGTTAAAATAAAAAAATTTAGCATCAAACTGAGTTAGCGCCTTTTTATCAAACAAAAAAAATATGGTTGCAAAATTAAACTTCAAAAAAATGGTAGATTTTTGATATAAAAATTTATTTTATAAAAAAAAGTATATAAAATTATGGTGGTTCATGCATTCATTGTTGCAAAAGGTGAATATTTAAAATTTTTATCAAAATAATTTATTTTTTGGATATCTCAAAAAGTAATAACCACGATATAAAAAAATGTTTATTAACCTACATTAATATTTTCAAAATAAGTTTAAATATAATGTAAATAGTTTTTTTTTTGATGTAAATATAAAATCGTAATTAGTAGAACAAAAATAAACTTTGAAGTTAGAAAGAAAGAAAAAAAACTTTTAAAATTATACGAATTGTTTAATATTTTTTAATCAATAGATATACAATCTGGGATTAGGAAGAGGTGCCCTCGTATCTAACTTTACTCAAAGAAATCTAAATTTGCAGTAAATGCCAAAGACCGGTTCAGGGTCAAACTATTGGGCTTCGAGACCGTTTTTAAAAATTGGTTCTGGCCCTGCTTTTGGTCTAAAAAATGATGCATTCTTTATGTATAATAAAGGTCATATAAAAATGTTACTAGCTGTAATCATTAAAAAAATCATATCTGTTAGGGTATAATTAATTATAGACAATTTGAGCCCCGGTACGCCTCTCCCCCTCTATTCCTAACGACGCTAACCCGAGAGACCCCACACAATTTCAAATCTTTTTTACAACATTAAAACTCAAAATAGCAAAAATTATCGATTTTCCTTACCTACCCGGTGAGATAAATACACGCTACATGAGAGAATATTATTAGTATATCGATTAATAACCAGATGAGCCTTACTTACCTGAGAAAAATATTTTCTATACGGTTGAAGTGAAATCCATTGTTAAAAACTAAATATATATCAAAGAACCCGTCTTTATGTAACTATAAATATTTACAAACTGAAACTCATTAAAACTTATATACTCACTTTTTTTATTGTATTTTATAACCTTTGCATTTTTCGAATAAGTTATTTTCTCACTGAAACGAAACTGAACTTGAAAGCAGAAAATCTTAGTCTTTAAAATAATTTTGTCAACAAATAATATTATTCAAATGATGATTTAGATAGAACTATTTTTTTGTCAAAAGTTATGCAAATATTTTTGAAGAAATTACAAAATAATATTAAACATTTAATTATAGAATGATTGTGGAGTGATACTCAATTTTTCTAGAGTAAAACTATCAAACATGTCTAAAAGTAAATTGATATATATTAAAAAGCGAATGCACATGCCCTGTCCTTCGTAAAATACGAATTTACCGAATGCCAACTCCTTGTGAGAACTTATAATATAGGAACAAATCAAGGACCTCGTGACTTCGGGAACAAGAAATAAAATTGAAAAACTTTAAAAAAATTAAAAATAGGACCCAGAAACAAATTCTTTTATAAACCTCGTTTAAACCTAATAAGCAACTCTAGCAGTAGTGGTTGGAGGGGGGCAGGGAGACTTAATCCCTTGAAAACTATGGAGAGCTTCTCTCCTGCAAAATTTTTTGCTATTTTTATTGTGTAATTTTAAATATATTTTCATCCGTTTTTTGCTAATTTTGAATAGAATTTTCTTTGTTCTTGCTGTTTTTTTTAAAAAAAATGTGCCCACCATTTTAAAGTTGAAAAAGCTAGCGACACAACTGAACTCTAGTAAAGAAAATATTCCATAATCATTTTTTGTTAAGGTAATAAATTGTCAATTGAAGGCTTTTTAAAAATAAATAAATATATATTCAAGTATTAAATTACTGGTTTAAAAAAAATAAATTTATAAAACAATATCCGTTTAGTTGAATATAAGCTAATTTTATTCACAAAAAAAGTATATTTTATTATAAAATAATGCCTTTATGTATCAAGAAATAGATAGATATTGATATGCGTAATTTATCCTTTAAAATTAAAAATGAATAATTCATCAGGAAAGAAAATACAACTTATTTTGTATGTTTAATTTATAAAAAAGAGGAAAACTGAGTTAAAATCTAGAAGTGTGGGCTCCGGATAATTTGTGAATTTGAATATTAAATAAAATATTGATTAAAAATTAATTATAAATTTTTAAAAACGCTACCTTTATATAATTAATATTATTTCACTTTAATGAATCTTGAGTATTTTTGATATTCTTCTAAATTTGAATAATTCTCTTCTCTTAATGTTATTTTTAAAATATGTAAAATAAAGAATACACGTAATTTTTGATCGTTAACATGAAAAGCAGACGACATTAATATAAGCAAAATGTGAAATGAAATAAAATTTTTCTTAATTATTATAAAATAAATGCTTAAAGGTATATTAATATATACAGATACTGGTAAACTATATACTTATTTATAACAATGTTATGGCATAAAATGCGGGTTACAATAATATTTCGCAAACAAAAGGTAAATTATTCACACTCATATAAAACAATATCAAATAATTTTATATCTTAAGACCTCTCTATGGTTAAAGTATAATAGAGCAGTTTTTTTTTCTATCAAATAGTTGTTAATTTCTTTCTTAAATATAGTATCGAGTAAACTTTAAAATATAAAAGCAAAGGAAGGAAGAATACGAAGTTTCATATTTTTATGGTTCACAAAAATAAAAGCTACAAAATGTGTATAAATAAAGATAATAAGCCCAATAATTTTTTCTAAATCAATAACTTATGAGAATTTAATAAAGTTTTCTAAAAAAAAATTTTAAACATATCGTTTTCAATGCAGAATTCAATTTTTTTCGCCCGACCCTGATTTTTTTTATCATTTTCAAACCCAACCCGGTTTTTAAAGGTATTTTTGACCCTGCTCAGATATTAATTATTTTTTTAATTTTTCCAGCCCGGTTTATATAAAAACTGTTATTTTTAATGCCTCCGATAAAATTTATTTTACGGCCTGCTACATTTATATTATCCGGTCCGGTTAGATCCCGAACAATTTTTTTTATTTGTCCCAAAAAGCGGTAAATAAATTTAAAATATTAGTCCGCTGACCCAGTCCGAACCGAAATTCTTTATAAAAATCTAAGTTTGTAAGATCTCCAATATAAATCTATATTACTTTTACATAATAAATAGTCCTTTTTTTAATGATTTTTTTCGACAATTTATCATTGCTAATTGAAAATTGTAATAAATTAATCAAAACAAATGATATATCTTCTAATAATTATTTCAATTATGGTTGTCAAGAATATACCATCAATTTTAAAATATTATGTTTTTATATATATATTTAAAAAAAATACATTATCGTAAAAAAAAAAATTAACACACCTGTCTTAAATTTTAATAAAATTTAGTCCTACCTTTATTTTTTAATGGGGTTGATTGATTTAAATACATAAAAAATTTTGTATCTAATAGTGAAACTTTTAAAATATTTTTTTTTTCACAAAAAAATTTAATATACATTTCTACGACGCTCTAAGATTTATTAAATTCATTGTCAAACTCATTAATCAAATACGAAATATTTTTTATTTATCTAATAAATTTAAATATAATTATTTTGATTTTTATAAAAAATAAATTAAAATTATATCAATTAAAATCATATAATATAATAAATATTTTAAAAAAATAAATCCGGGCCGGGCTTAAGAATAAAGAAGCCGGTCTTGAAATAGTTTTTATTAAATCTGCATATTCGAAAGATATGCTCCCCCATTCCTCCCCTGTTTATTTGTATCAAGCCATTGCTCCATGTAGTGAAGGTCAACGGTCCGGTCCTATCGGTCTTAGACCGGGATCGGACCGGACCGATCTTTTTCTTGAGGACAGTGGTCCGGACCGGTCTTTTTATTTTTTACGGTCCAGACCGCGGTCCGGACCGGTCTTTTATTATTGTTTAAGTTTGCCTTACTATACAATTAATATAATTTTTTTGTATATTTTATTTTATGATATTTTTCTAGAGGAGTCATTTTAGATTTTGTTAATTTTTATTTTACAATATGAAAACCATAAGTTTGTCCAAGAAACATTTTACTTATAGTCCCAATAAAAACATAGAGTATGTGTTCATTGCAGTACCAAATTTAATGTATCGTCAGCACCTAGTAACAAAATAATTGTTTATAATTTTTTAAGCAATAAATTAATCAAAATAAGCAATAATATTATTAAAATATTTTAGTTATTATCTAGTTCTATTTTTTTAAAGAAACTGTCTGTATAATTTATTGTAAAAATAGGTACCTTAAGCAGACATCTTATAAAACATAAAATATATACTTCTAATGATGAAAATGAAAATATCTCAAAAAACACAATCTACTCTTAATTTTTATATGCCCTCTACAAGCACAAAATCATTTTTTACAATACCATTGGATATATTTTATTGTTTATATAATACTCTTATATTTAATAAAATGATAAAACAAATCAAATTAGGTTAAAAAAATATGTTTTTTAAACAAATAAAAAGACCGGTCCAGGACAGGTCTTTTTATTTAGGATCACGGTCTGGATCGATCTTTTTCTTAAGGACCGTGGTCCGGTCCCAGGGTATAGGTCCAGTCCGGACCAAAGACCGGACCGTGACCTTCACTAGCTCCAAGGCTTTGATCTCAAATTAGAGGTCAAGAATTTTAAATTCCAATTTTCTGAAAGAAGTCCGTACTCGTCCTGGTCCAAAAATACCCAGTATATATATAATATTTATCCAATCCTATATCTCCAAGGTTATCATTTATAAAATTGTAAAATGGTCCACAAATGTATCTGAATGATTGTGACAAATTTATAAAATATTTCAAAAGAATTGGACTAATTATAAAAAATAATAAAGTAGTAGCAAACTATATATTTATATATTAGAGTTATTAAAAGTTACTTTAGAAAATAACTAGTCATAGTTATATTAGTTATGGGTAGGTAACTAGTTACTTTAACAACACCAAGGATTATAGTCAAAATCTTTGGTTTAAAATATTGGTTGGTATGGTAATACTTTCTATCTAGGTTTCTTTAAAAGTACTATTTTGAGTTTCATTAAGATTAATTTCCTCTAACTGAAAGTGCTATGCGCTGCATACATCATAAGAAAGCAGAAACACCCCAGCGCATTCTAGGCCCAATTGAGTCAGTGACAATAGGGCTCTTTGATAACTAATATATAAATGGATACATCCTATAAAATTTTAATTGCGCAATTGATTCGTACCTTCAGTTATCGAGGACCTTGGAACACTCTAGTACTCTAAAAAAGGGGCTTATAAAAAGTAAAATTGTATATAAAAAAAATTCAAATACGTCTGTTTTTTAGACGAAAGGTTTAGATCAAATTTATTATAAGAATGAATGTAATTTTATGTTTTCTGATTTTCCATTTCCTTGGCGACGGTAAAAATAAAAAATTTGGTAAAATGAATGGGGAGGATTTTATAAATGATAGATATTATTCAGAAGGGAAAAATTAAGCCAAAAATATTTTGAGGAAAAATCATATTTTGATTAGGAAAAATCATAGATGGAGAAAAAAAGGACAAAAGTTTTTTTTGTGTCAATTATAAAATGCCAAACAAAACTTCGACTCGAAAGTGAATTCATATTAATTTTAAAATTAAATATATATAATAATATTGCACAGAATTTGATGTCCTATTCCAGCTCTAAGTTCTCTATTTCAACGTTATCATTTTTAATAATGATGACAGATGCCGCTGCGACATTTTATTTACAAGTACAAAATAAAATTTTATCATTTTACAATGCAATATATAAAATAAATAAATATAATTTAAGGTTTGGTTCCCGTTACGCCCATAGATTGCCTGAGCTATTTTAAAATTATTTTTAGATTTTATATAATATTGCGTGGGGGTGGGGGGTAAAAATGTTAAAATGGGCAGGCGGAAGGGATAAAAATATTTTCTAAACAATGGTTAGAATTTGAAATATTTTCTGAATAGAATAAGAAAGAGCAGAACTATTAAAAGAGCCAAGCTAAAAATGACTTTTGTTGGAGAGGGGGGGGGCTAAGCCACATTTTAAAATAAATTGGCGAGCAATTTTTTAAAATAATAGGTGGGTAAGTTGACCTCCACCTTTTAACTAAGAGTTTTAAGATTATTTAAAACCAGAGACACGCGGGGTCATATTTTTAGGCCTGACCCGAATTTTTAAAGCATAACATTTCCCAGTCCTTTCTAAAACCCTGCCGATTATTTGGAGGGAGGGGGCGGGACCTGCTAGTTTCTGATTAAATCTAAATTAAATCAATTCACACATTATAAAGTGGAGAGGGAGGGTGCTCTGGCCAAAATTTGAAAAGGATATCAATGTTTTTTAATCAAAAAAAATATAAGTCTAATTTTTAAAATTTATAAATTATACCCGTTTGGGTTGTTGTAGAAATTGAATAATGATTGGACGAATAATTTTGATCAAAAAGGGATGATTTAATATTTTTCTGATAAAAAGATAATAATTTTCATGTATTTTTTAAAAAAAAACATTACAATATTATGTGAACAAGAGACAAGATTAAAAATGTAAAAATAAAATTAAAAAATAATATAAAACATTGTTTATTATTTATATTTATAAAAAATTTTTTATTTATATTATACATATTTATTTATTTTTAGTAAAAAAAATTCCCCCTGAATTTTAAATTATGAACAAAAGATGGGAGACGACGGGCTATAGTAATTTACTATTACTATTTAATATATATTTTTATGTTATAAATTGAATAGTAAAAAAAAAATGTGGGCAAAATATAATTAATGTCTTATCCTACGGACAATTCGGTACATCATAATATTTAAAATTATATAAAAAATTATTATTTTATATTCTGACCATAACCCCAGCTCTAAACAATAATTTTAAGCCATCTTAAAAATAAATTTTTAAAAAATGCAAACCACATGGTTGGGTCTAAAAACTATTATTTTTTTTTAATAAACCCATCTTGGCCAAATTATATACCATTAGTTTGCAAAATGTTGAAAATGGATAGTTTAATATCCATTTTGGGGCTCATTTTTCGATTTTCCCTTTTGAATAATATACAACAAAATACAGTCAATATTTTAAAAAAACATGAAAAAAAATCCGGGCTGATTGAGAATATAAATTTTTATTATCCAGTTATCTTTTTCAGAGGCGTGGAGTTACTATTCTGGGTGCTCAATCAAACCCTTTTGAAGAATGGATCAGCCATTAACCCTATTTTTCAAATTAGCCTTCAACTTCACCACATTTAAAAAAATGATTCTTAGATATATTAATTTTTTAATTTGGCGATTTATAATATAATCATTTAGACCGAAATAAAAAAAAACGGCTATTATGATTTAGTACACATTTAGAACCGAAAATAGTTTTCTAGTTCTTATGCTGAATATACTAATCTAAACAGCAACAAATTTAAAAAAATAAGATGAACCAGTACAAAACCTTAAGACTCTTCATGTGCCTTTGATGATAGATGATAATCATGATTTCTTTCACCAACATTGTAATAAAATATAATTAAAACAAAACGGTAAAAAATCAAAAGATATTAAAGCAAACGCAGTATAAGTTTATACAGAGGAGATTAGGGCATAACTATATTTCTACTCGACAGAATTTTAGAAATGATTAGTACGGCTTCTACTTATAGATTTTCGTTTATTTAATTTTTAAATTATTTATGTTACTAGAATTTTCGCTCAATCTTGTTTTATGAAATTTTAATTCTATATTTATTAAACAAACTGGAAAAAAAATCCTCTAGGAAGATCATAGAATCATAAGATTCAAAAATATTTTGAATCGGAAAAAGTGAAGCCTAAAAGTATTCAGACCAAATTAGTTTTTGATAATTTAAAATTTGATATTCACTATTCAATCTAAGACTTGCCGTTTTTTATCTCGCTTATAACTGGTTTTTGTTTATGGCTACAGGCTACTGATCGATGAAATAGTAAGTACTAATCATGTATTACATATTGTTCATTGCTTCTATAATTTTCTTTCTAGCATGATGCCATTTATAGCGATTTTTTTGATTTTGCCAAAAATGTTGTTCTTTAAACTGACTATCAAACGTGTTGAAGCAGTAAAAAAGTATGAAACTATTGACTACTCATAATTTTTTTAAAAAAAATCTTTTTCGAGACAATTCCTCCAGATGCTTGGCTAACCTTACGCAGACGTGATACCATTGTTAGTTTTTGGTTCATAATAGATTACTTTTTTAATGGCTGGCTAAATTGATCAAAGAATTAGTAAGGCTATTAGCGCGCCATATATACAGTATTTTATATATTCTATTTTAGCATGATATCTATTTTGGCAATACCCTAACTCTAACCCTAACCCAAACGGATTAAATTAATATACAATTATGATCTAAACATTAATAAAATTTACTGAATAAATGCTATCATTCACATTTTAATCTTAAGATAGGCCAAAATTTTATTACTAATAATTTTTTCTTTTACATTGGTATACTGGTTAAAGTCAAAAACTAATAAAGCACAAAACATTGCATATTTTAGAATTAGGGCTTGTTCAGCCAACTTTAACGGATATTATATTTAGACCATCGAAAAATCAATAAATTGTAACCCCCCTTCCCCCATCGATCCTGACTACGCCACTGGCTATGTAATATAAAGGGATAATGTTTATATTAATTAATGAGGAGAAATGCTAATTTTATTAAACACCAACTCATCGAAATCTAAAAGATAATTCGCGAAGTAGCGCGAAACTGCCAATAAATTTATTTAGGTTTTTGCAAACTACGCCGTTGAGGTTAAGGCCTGACACCAATCTCAGGAACTGCATTAGCGGTTAGCTTAGACCTTTGCAACAAAGATTAGGGTTAATTTTTATATTAATTGATGATAAATATTAATCTAATAGAAACCAACCCCACTACATTGGGTTTTAAGCATATTTTTATTAAAATTGAGGTTGGCCAGTGTCTTTTTATTCGGGATGTTTTCTATTTCTTCAGGACATTTATGTCCATGATTCGACTTTAATAATATGAAATACAACTTAAAATGTGATGCAATGTTTATTTTCCTTAACTGCAATTAATCAATGAATGAAGTGTTTTAAAAATTTGAAAAAAAATAGAGTTCAATAAATTTTTGCATAAAATTTCAACTATTATGGCAGGATTTGTAAAATATTTTTATATAATTATAATACAATTAAAATAAATGCGACTAATTAAGCGTTTTCGAAATAAAAATAAACCAGTTTGCTATTTTTTTAATGTTTATAAATTGATCAATTTGTGAGATACCTTTTGAAATGCATTGCTCAATTAGGTCGGACTATAAAAATACTTTTTTTTAGATTTAATAATCTGAAATATACGTTTCTTTTATTATTATAAAATAAAACCATATTTTTCTAAATTCATTTTTAAAAATGATATTTAAAAATATATTTTGTTTGTATATATTTTTAATCTATTTTTTTACATTATAAACCTAACTTAAACCTATTTATGTAAAAGTTTTCTGTAGCAAATAATCACTATTACAATCTTAGGGGGCTCAAAAATTACCTATTTTTTAGCTATCTTTTATTCTTTTAATTGTGGTATAAAAAAAGATTTCAAATTTTGAGGGGCCTCTTCAAATTTTTTAGGGGGGTCGAGCTCCTGTGCCCCCCTCCCAGTGACGCTACTGCAAATAATATTTTAAACAAATGATGTGCCGTTTAACGTGTAAGTTACTTTTACTTTTTTATAACATTGAAACTGTTACTATATAAAAAGATTGCGCAAATGGGTTTAGTTTTATTATTTCACAAATTTCAAAATTCGAATAAATTATTGCACAGAATATTTTATTATTATTATAAGATTATGATTTATCTAATAGAGGTAATAGCAAAATTTTTAGGCCAGGCCTGGTTGGAATTTAAACTTTGCCCACTGGCCAAGTATTTACCCTACCTGGCCCGATTGCCAATGCTAAGATTGTCTCGATTTTTTAAACACAAGGCTTAATCCGAAATATATTTAGTTAAACACCAAAATAAAAACCATTTATAATATTTTGGGGAGTAGTTAAATTAAAAATACTACATACTTTATGGATTATCATTTCTATCAAGTCCCAGAATTCATAATTCAGCCAAATAATTTTCTTTGCCCGGTCCGGCCCAAAAATTTTGTCTCGAATGCTGGATATTCCTCTATTGACTATTTTATAAAAAATATATTGATAGTTTCTCTTTTTTTAAAACAATTTTTTTATTAATTGGCAGACTGACCATAAGACCAAGTGGGCATTTTACCTAACAGCCCCAAAGAAAATTTCGAGGCCGATCAGAAAAAAATAATATTATTTCTATTTTTTATCATATAAGTTATGACTTTTCTCTTATCATATTCATATTATTTTTTTGTTTAACATTTAGGCTATTTTACGGGGTATTTTTTTCAAAAAATCTGTGTCCCTTTAAATGAAAGTCAAGTTTTAATTGATTTATATTTTATGTATGCATTAATTTATTATTTAAATATAATTCAGATTTAAAATAATAAATATAAAATATCCATGTAACAATATGTATTTGAGATAATAACAAATCCTACAAAGGATCAGACCACAATGAAACACTCACCTATTTTAAACTTGAAAATTTAAATCATGGGAATTTCCTTGAGATGTAACAAATCATTCAAAAAATGATAAAATACTTAGACATATTTAAAAAAAGGCCATTTTTAGAAGGAAAAGTAGAAAAAGCTGAAACCCTGATAAATCAAAATCCAAGGTAAAATGTTCTTTAATAAGTTTATAATTCCTCCTACGTCAAAATAATCACTTTTTCAATAGCTGTCATTTTTTAAGAAAATAAAAACGATATATAACTAAATCTTGCAATGAAAAAATTTGAAAATTGTAAAAATTCTATTCGCAGTTCTATTGGATTCCCTTTTCTGTTAACCTATACAGTCAGACATTCCTTTAACGTTTATGAAATGTAAAAATCCTTTAAATTAATGAAAAAAAGTAACGTTACTTTAAGTTAAACAAATAAATATAATGGTTATAGAACCTTTTCGTTATATTTTTAAAATGATAGATATGTTTAACCTACCGCTATTACAATTTTCTGTCCACCCCTACACACAACTGCTTACATTAATCTATTTTTTGCCAACATAATAGTAAATTATGAAAGAACTACATAGATAATTTGTTATAAAATCTCACTTTTTAAAAATATATTTTGATTAATTTATTTAATTGATTTATATATATTCAACCTAATTAAAACAATAATAAAATTAAAATAATCAAAATATAGTAATAGTAATAAAAAATATAAAATAACGAGTATAATGCTCCTAAAGTAACTATTGAAAGTACTATGCTACAGTTTCCTTTTTGAGTAATTCTAAAAAATAGATAGCTAATTGGTATTTTTCGGAGTGGCTATGGCCAAAATACGCTATGTTTATTAGAGGTCTGCAATGGGCGAGTTTTTAGCCA